GCTGGCTCAGGAATTCTGGGAGTTGAAGTCCACGAGTCATAAAAGAGCCAAGTTTGAAGACCCCTGCTCTTAATCTTCGTCCTAGGATATGGGTAGGCAGCCTCGGCTCTTTTATGACTCATGGACTTCAACTCCCAGAATTCCTGAGCCAGCCGTGCTGAGGGGACAGGGAGAGGTTTCCAAGCTGAGCCATGCCGGCTCAGGAATTCTGGGAGTTGAAGTCCACGAGTCATCAAAGGGCCAAGGTTGCCTGCCCCTGTCCTAGGAGTATCTCCCACTACCGTGTTTTTCCCGAAAATAAGATCCGGTCATATTTATTTTTACTTTTTTTTGGCCTCCAAAAAAGGGCTTCTTCTTGTGGCATATCCGTTATCGGAGGTTGGTGATCATGTTGGCGCCAGGTCTTATTTCCATGGCCTCACTTCACAACGGTGGCACCGACAGCCCCACCAAGCCAGCCCACCTCTTCTGTGGCCGAAGGAAATGCCTCTGCAGCTGAGAATGGAGCTCCGGGCTGCATTTCACCCTCAGAGGCCTTTCCGGAAGGCCTCTGAGGGTGAAATGCAGGCCGGCGGGAATCTGGGGCTCCCTTCTCGGCTGCAGAGGCCTTTCCGGAGTTGGTACTTCCTTGATAGGGTGTTGTTTCCTCCTGGATTGTTGGTCTAGCACAAGGGTAGGCAACCTTGGCTCTTTTATGACTCGTGGACTTCAACTCCCAGAATTCCTAAGCCAGCATGGGGGAACTATGGCCCCCTCATGACTCGTGGACTTCAGCTCCCAGAATTCCTGAGCCAGCATGGCTCAGCTTGGAAACCTCTCCATTTCTCCTCAGCATGGCTGGCTCAGGAATTCTGGGAGTTGAAGTCCACGAGTCCTAAAAGAGCCAAGGTTGCCTAACCCTGGTCTCGTGTTAATCTTGGTGTTAATTTTGCTTCTCTGGTGTTAATTGCTGGTGAGGAGGTGTTTTGATCTTTCTTTTTTTTAGCCTTTTGGCTTATTGAGTGTCTCTTTTGCTTTATATGAAAAGAGTACAAGCCCCACTCCCTTCCAGCACTGATGATGTTACCTAGTTGGGTCACAAAATGCCTGTAAGAACAGAATCAAGCTCAAAAACACCAGAGACCCCACATCTCTCCCTCCCTCTCCCCCCCCCCCCATGCCTGTACCTATGTCTGTATATCTTTATACCATAGTTGGGTTGCCGCTAAAAATACATTGCATTTTGTTGCATTGAAATCCTGGAGGTCTGATTAAGGAATTCTGGGAATTGAAGTCCACTCAGCTTAAAGCAAGCTAGCTGCAGAATTCTGGGAGTTGAAGTCCACCCATTTTAAAGCATGCTGGCTGGGGGATTCTGGGAGTTGAAGTCCATCTACTTTAAAGCATGTTGATTGAGGATTTTTGGGAATCGAAATACACCCATGTTAAAGTATGCCGGCTGGGGAATTCTGGGAGTCGAAATCCACCCATCTTAAAGCATAGCTGGCTGGGGAATTCTGGGAGGTGAAGTCCACCCATGTTAAAGCATGCCGGCTGGGGAATTCTGGGAGTCGAAGTCCACCCATCTTAAAGCATAGCTGGCTGGGGAATTCTGGGAGGTGAAGTCCACCCATGTTAAAGCATGCCGGCTGGGGAATTCTGGGAGTCGAAGTCCACCCATCTTAAAGCATGCTGGCTGGGGGATTCTGGGAGTGGAAGTCCGCCCCTCTTAAAGCATGTTGGCTGTGAGATTCTGGGAATCGAAGTCCACCCATCCTAAAACATGTTGGCTGGGGGATTCTGGGAGTTGAAGTCCACCCCTCTTAAAGCATCCTGGCTGGGGAATTCTGGGAGTTGAAGTCCACCCATCTTCAAGCAATGCTGGCTGGGGAATTCTGGGAATTGAAAGCCACAGATTGAAGTTGCCCAGGTTGGGAAAAAAACTTGCTAGGGAAGATCTGTGGAATTTTGACTTAATATCTGCAGAAGAATAGAAATAGTACGTGATGACTTTACCCTGTCTCTGAACTCACTCCCCATGCTCTCTCTTCACTGTCCGTTGCCGACCCACCTCTCTCTCCCTGGCTTCTTTCTCACCCAGATCCATGCTGGAGCAAGCCCAAAGCCGGAAAATGCTGGAAGACTCCGATTCGGAAGAGGACCTCCCTCCAGCTCGGCCAAAACCACTTGCCAAGGGGAAACCCACCGACATCCTGCAACTGGTATGTAAAGAGTCCTTCAGGATCTCCCGATAGGTTGGCTGACGTCATGGAGATGGATAGTCCCTCTTCACGGGGGTCTCTTCCTGCCTTGAGCAGTGGGGTTGGACTGGGGGATCTCCAAAGTACCTTCTAGAGGTAGTCCTCAACTTACAACCGTTCATTTAGTGACCGTTTGAAGTTACAACGCCGTTGAAAGAAGTGGCTTGTGGCTGTTTTTCACAGTTACAACCACTGCTACATTAATAATAATAATAATAATAATAATAATAATAATAATAATAATAATAATAATAATAATAATAATAATAATGAAGTTGGAAGGGACCTTGGAGGTCTTCTAGTCCAACCCCTGACCATTTCAGGCAAGTGGCTGTCCAGTTTCTTCTTAAAAACTTCCAGTGATGGAGCACCCACAATTTCTGAAGATAGGTTGTTCCACTGATTAATTGTCCTCACTGTCAGGAAATTTCTCCTTAGTTCTAGGTTGCTTCTCTCTTTGATTAGTTTCCACCCATTGCTTCTTGTCCTGCCTTCAGGCGCTTTGGAGAATAGCTTGACTCCCTCTTCTTTGGGGCAGCCCCTGAGATATTGGAACACTGCTATCATGTCCCCCCTCGTCCTTCTCTTCATCAAACTAGGCATAAACTAGACATTCTCTTGGTCACGTGATCAAAATGAAGATGCTTGGCAGCCGGTTCACACTTATGACGGTGGCAGCATCCAGGGGATCACGTGATCCCCCTTTTGCAACCTGCTGAACCAGCAAAGTCAATGGGGGGAGTCAGATTCGCTTAACGACCTTGTTACTCACTTAACGACTGCCGTGATTTCCCTGCACGATTGGGGCAAAAAGGTCGTAAAATGGGGGAGGAAACTTGAATCCATGGCCCCACCGACTGTGTGTGTGTGCGCGTGTGCGTGTGCAGGTAGTCCTCAACTTACGACTGAAATTGACTGTTACTATGCAAGTGAATTTGGTCCCCTTTTATCATTTTGGCAGCGTCCCTGTGGTCATGTGATCCCTTTTGCGGCCTTCTGACCAGAAATCAGTTTAGCTTAACAACCACGTTACTAACTTAAAACTGCAACGATGCACTGAACTGTGGCAAGAACAGTCGTAAAGCGGGGCAAAACGCACTTAATTTGTCTCGCTTAGCAACAGGAATGCTAATCGTGGTCGTAAACTGAGGACTACTTGTGTCACGTTTTCTTGGAAGCCTGGGAAAATCACGTATGGCGATTATGCGACTGCAGGACGCTGCAACTGTCGTAAGGGTGAGCCGGTGGCCAAGCACCCAGATTGCTGTCACAGCATGGCTATGGGGAATGCTGAGATTGTCATAACAGACCTGAACAGTGGACGCTGTCTAAC